GATAATCTATCCCATAAGATTGAGTGAAGCCTTTAGCTACTTAGATGAGTTTTGTATTGATTCATACTTCCATCAGAATTGTGTTCTACAGTAAATACCCATTTGCACCCAACTTTATGTTTTCTCGGTGGAAGTTCTGTTAGTTCCCAAGTCTTGTTCTTTTCAAGAGCCCTAATCTCTGCTTGAATAACATCTCTCCACATTGGCAATGCAAGGGCTTCATGAATGGTTTTAGGTTCAGTGAGGCTGCCATCAAGTTTGCTTACATATGCATGATACTTTAAGGACAAGTGGCTGAATGAAATGTAATTCTGTATAGAGTGTTTAGTACAAAATCGAATTCCTTTCCGCAAAGCAATAGGTAACTCAGTATCATGATCAATAGTGGTAACCGTATCAGAAATTGTGCCTGAAAACTCATTACCTGATGTGTTCTTACTGCTTAGAACTGGAATAGACTCATGGCAGTGTGTAGTTGGTTCAGAATCTTTATTAACTAGAGTTTTGTGTTTCCTAGTATAGACACGTAACTCTTTGTTGATATTAGTAGGTATAGGTTTAGGTTCAGACTCTTTGATACTGGTTTCAGGAAAATTTGATGAGGACTCGGGAATAGTGAGGGGAGAAAAAGTGAGAGGTAGTGTACTTATATCCCATACTTGATATTCCTGATTAGGATTCTCCCCCTGAATATCAGTAATGGGATAGAAGGACTGGTTTTCAAAGAAAGTGACATCCATAGTGTTGTAGAAATGATGAGTATTGGGACAAAAACATTTGTATCCTTTTTGACTTGGTAAATATCCAACAAAAACACATTTAATGGCCCGTGGGTCAAGTTTACCCCTGAGATGAGTATGAACATGAACATAGGTAGAACAACCAAAAACTTTATAGGGAAGGGTATGAAGAATATGAAATTGCGGAAAGGCCTTAAGGAGGATATCATAGGGTGTTCGAAATGAGAGTTCGGGAGGGCATATGGTTTATCAAGTATGCAGCGGTGAGAACAGTCTCTCCCCAAAGAAATTTTGGAATGTGGGTAGTGAACATGATTGATCGGGCTACTTCAAGAATGTGTCTATTTTTCCGTTCAGCTATGTCATTTTGTTGTGAAGTATTGAGACAAGAACTTTGATGGATAATGCCGTGGTTAGAAAAATATTGGTTCAAAGTGGTTTCAAAGTATTCACACCCATTGTCTGACCTCACTACTTGGATATTGGTGTGAAATTGATTTTGAATCATAATGTAAAATTTTTTAAAAATCTGACCAATTTCAGATTTTTCTTTCATGAGAAAAATACAGGTAATTCTAATGTAATCATCAACAAAAGATACAAAGCATTTTGTTCCGATAATATTAGTGACCTGAGAGGGACCCCATACATCACTATGAATTAATGAAAAAAGTTTTGTGGGTTTGTAAACAGAACTGGAAAATCAATTTCGAATATGTTTGGACAGCTAACATACTTCACATTGAAAGGAATTGGATTTTCATTTCGAAACAAAGTAGGAAATAGTTTTTTCAAGTACACGAAGTTAGCATGTCTTAAACGGTAATGCCATAACATGATAGGGCATTCCATATTTAAGTTGTTTACAGATTCAGGATTAATACATACTGCATGATGAGTTTGTCTATTAAGAGAATAGTTGTCAACTTGCAGTAGATAAAGACCCGAATCCATACTAGCATTGCCAATCGTCTTCCCCGAGTCCAAGTCCTGAAATTCACACAGTTTATAGTTAAATGTAGCCACACAATTCAAGTCCTATGATAATTTACTTACTGACAGGAGATTGCAATCCAAATTTAGAACATATAGCACAGAGTACAAAATTAACTTGGGTGTCAGTGCAATTAGTCCTGTTCCTTCGACTTGGGAGCTAGAGCCATCAGCAATTTTAACTGAGAATTTACTTACGCACTTACTATATTCCTTGAATAGTGAGATATCCCCAGTTATATGATTGGAAGCACCTGAGTCAATAATCCATATTCCTTTTTTAGTGGAATAAG